ATACTCGTTATACACACCGCGAGCACCAGCAACAACAACAACCCCAAAAAAACAAGGCAGCTACTGGTGAAACCTTTAGCCTCGCTGCGGTAGCCATACATGGTGGCCTCCGCGGCCAATTGACAGGCAACCGAGAGACCATTGAACCAGCCAATCATCCAGTCACCGAAACCGCCACGGTGCATTCAGTGCCGAAGGTGTCAGCGTTAAAGCTCTTAGCATCAGCTCAAACGATGTTGCGGCGGCATTTCAGGTGGCTGAACAGAGCAGAGCAACTGGCCCGAAAGCTGTGTTGTGCGACGTGTTTGAGCTGCGTTCACGCTCATAAGCTAAGGCAATTCCTGTTCCTCGAGTTCTGACAAAACTTAAACAGTCACATAATTCGGACATTAATTACTTTTTTGTGCATTGCCAAAAAATATTTCGTAAAATAAAACTAACAAAACAGACGCTTGAAAAAGAACGACAGAAAAATGCGTGAAGAATGTGAAGTTTGCCAAAGGTGCAGGCGGGTTGCCGACAAAGACGAGTCCAACGATGATATGACTTTTGTCAGCTTTGTGAAGGTAGCTTAGAGTAGAGTAGATGTTGAGCGAAAAAAATTGAACAAATGACAACAAGTGAAGGCCGGATCATTGTGCAGGAAATATTAAGGGTAAGGTCGGATGTGTAGAGAGTGACGTCAGCTCTTCATTTGGTTATTGAAATTCAAAAATAAAAAGCATAGAAAATTACGTTCAGAATAAGAAATAAAGCCTATAAAGGATATTAAACAAATTATGTACATATTAGGGCGGGTAATTTTTTTTTTACTATTATTTTGAATTTTAAGCAAATTAGCCGAAGCAACCATGGGTAAAAAGTCCATTAAGAGTTTGCTAACTTGCGAAAATTCATTTCGAGGAAAATGTGAAAATGTTCACTGTTGCGCCCTCTGATGGAAGTTTTAAGAAAAAAATAAGTGCAAAACCTAATTTTGCAATTTGTCAAACTCCAAATGGATTTCTGACCCATGGTTTCTTCGGCAAATTTGCTACAGTCGAAAACATCTTCCATACAAATCGAGCCGCCCTAGTGAATATAGTAAGTAAATCAAACTGAAGTGAAGTTGTAAAATTAAAAAAATAAATAAATATAAGTAAATTATGTAACAAGTAAAATAAAATAAGTTACAAGACGATGAAATAAAAAAACAAAATAAAACATGAAAAGCTAAGTAAAATAAAATTAAATGTATGTATATATGTATGCAACCGAAGTAATAATTAACCAGTTAATTGCCCAAAACCTAAATAGTTAAATCAACAAAAAACAGCCACTTGAATAACATCTGCAGCCACAACTCCACTCAGTTCGAATTCGGAAAAGAAATATGTTTTGCCATTTATCGAAAAACAGCCAGTTAATGATGATTTATTGTGATTTCGCTGCTTTAGGTTTTATACATTTTAGATAAATAATTTGTATTTATCATAATTTTTTTCGATGCGAAGTCCAACGACAGCTAAGGCCAAACAAATATAGCGAAAAAAACGAATAGGAGAGAACACAAATTTAAGAAAAACTTAAGCGAATTATTGCTATACGCTACCAGCGCTGAACGCTGAAGTACTTACATACTTACGGAAACGAAATAATATTTTTATTAATTTACGTTATATTGAGTGACAGACGCACACAAACACATAAAAACACAAGCGTTTTGGAGATTTCTTTACACATTACATAATATTTATTTATTTATTCATTCATTTATTTGCTTTCAATCATATATATATGTATATAATATTAAAGTTTAATTGTTAAAGTAATAATTACAAGTTATTTTTTTTTAATTATTTGTACACAGATTAATCAACTTCTTAGGTGTCTAGTTATATATTTAGTTTTGCTTTCAATTGCAATTATTTTTAAATACACGAGTTTGATATTAATTAACTTTACAACTTAACGCAATAATTGCTTTTTTATGTTTGTTTTTTTTTTTACTTGCTTTTTACAAATAAATTTAATTTAGAAGTTTGTCTTTTCTATTTCTTTCAATTAATTTAATAACTTAAATGACTAAATAAAATTAATTATCAACTAACTTTTCAACTTTACGATACAACGGGTGGCTTGTTTTGTGTTGTACAAACATTTTGCACGCGACTGCGGTCGCTGTGAAAACCTGTGTACAACACAAATCGAGCGCCATAAATGCCTTTGCAGCTTTTGCTAGCCTACAGAAATTAGTGCATGTTAGTAGATATATTTTGGTTTTTATTTACAGTTTCTTATAGTGTATATTTTTACACACACTTTTAAAGAAATTGTCTTAATAGTAATATTGATTCGATTGAGTTTTTATTTTTCTATTTGCAATATCTGTTGTGATATTTGTGATATGAAATATTTGTGATATTAGTTGACTTTTTACATTATTCGATTAGTGTTCTATCGTTTCTTAAGTTAACGCTTTACAATAAATGCGGGACGGGCAGGGGAATGGAGTGCAACTTATATATGTAAATGTACATGCTTGTATTTATTGCTTACTAGCTAAATTAGGCTAAATTAAGCTAAATTAAGATTAATGATTTTAAGAAAATAATTTAAAATTAAAATTTTAGAGAGAATTTGGAAGGTTGTTGAGGAAATTGTAAAACTAAATTAAAAAATCGATAAATAGAAGAAAATAGCATTACATATATTTTTAAGGTTTTAATCATGGACAAATTGAGATTATTAAAAATTTTTAACAAACGCAAACTGTAAATAGAATCAATTTTTCCATGTTTCAGTTAAAAATATATGTAACTCTATAGGTTCTTATTTAACTAGGAAACAAATTTCAAGCAAATATTGATTAACTCGAAAAAGGATTTTTAAGGGTAAACGAAAAAGATATCGCGATTTTAAAAATACCTATTGAACAACAAATCTTGTCATTAGTCATTTCATTTTGAATTATGTGCAAAGTTCATAACTAAACCTGAACTTGTTTTTAAGTCCCGTGCTTTCGAAACTCGATAACAAAACTTGGAAGTATTTCAGTACTTTAAATGTTTAGTTGTCATTTATAAACGTACATATGGGTTTTATCATGGGTGATCTCCATAGCTACCACAAATAAAAATATAATTGAAAAAGCACACAAAAAACATCCACTAAACATTTGTGTTTGCAAACAAAAGGAAAGAAAAAATAGAAAGTAATGATCAAATATAAATTATAAATCATTAACGAAAGGTAACGAATTATTAAATTTCAAATCAAATATAGCTAATGTGATAAATAAAAAAAAAATCTATACAAATTTTAAAAAGTATTATAAAGCGCCTTAGTTTGGAAAAAAGGAATTTTACATTTAAGCAAGCATAAGAATCTATTAAATTTTTTCGATTCATAAATAAGCTCATCGAAATAAATAAAAATTATTAAACAAATTACGCATGATTTGCTGAAAAAAAATCATTTGAAAAAATTTTATAAAAGCTCGGAATTAACAAAAATCATAAACGAGAATCCAATGCCAATTAAAAAGCTTTCAAATACATAAATACATTCAGCAAAAAATACATTCGCCTTTGTTTTACTTAGCTCTTTTTTATTATTATGCTAAAACTCTGTACAAACACACATACGTACATACACACATACTTTACCTACAGCTAAATTGATTTTTGACTGTGATTTGAAGATTTGTTTCTAAATTATCACTCATTATTTCGTTGATACTGGCTGCAACTCCCTTTGCCTTTACTGCTATGCTACGATTATTTCTTTTTCCAAAAACAATGATACCGTTTCGTTAAACCCATCTCTGCTTAGAACTTTCTCTTCTTGCGATATGTCTTTTCAATCTCCACTCCTTCCCGGTCACATTGCAGCTCACGCATACTCCTCGGCGGCTCCGAAGTAATGCTGGGGCGGCGGCGGCGGCGCTGGTGGCGGTAAAAGCGTCGTTGGCGCTGCGACTGATGCCGACGGCAAATGCAGCATCGGCTGTAGGCCGGTTGCCAATGCTGTTGTTGTTGGCGGTGGCGTCAAACTGCCAGGCGATAACTTTATAGGCACCTGCTGAAGCTGCTGATACTGCTGGTATTGGTTGTGCGGTGGCTGTTGTTGCTGCTGTTGCGTATTATGATGTTGCAACATATTTCCTCCTCGATGGCTAACGTTGCCGCTATTGCTATTGCCTCCTCCGACATAGTGCGACATCGGTGTGAACTCTTCATTGCCATCGAGAAAACCATAAGTGCCCCTGCCGCCGACGCCAATGTAACTATTGCCACTGCCATAGCTTCTGTTGCCATCGCTGCTGCTAGCACCAGCGCAACTACCGCCATTTGCGCCGCCGCCGCCACCCGCAAGCATGCCTGCGTTGCCGCCCCCACTGCCACTGCCACTTCCACCGCTGGTGTTGCTATTGCTATTGCAATACTGCATCAGCAGATTCTACACCATATTCACGTATTTGTCTTGTGGTGACATGTAGTCCAGGCTGTTTTGCGAGAAGGCCTGCGCGGACACGGAGCCGGTGAAGGAGGGACTAGGCGATAGACCGAAATTCGATGCGCTGTAGCCGGTGTGACCCATGTTGTAGTTGACCTGATTCTGATTGCTGAAATATTCCATTTGCGAGTAATAGCTCGGCGCTTGAGCGTAATTGTTGGGGTACTGTTGGTACTGATTATGCCAGAAATTGTATGAATCATGGTTGGGCATGTACGCTGAATGGGCGGCAGAGTGGTGTGCCGACTGTGCACTTTGTGCGGCGTGCGCTGCTGCGGCGGCCGACTGCGGCGACATGGGCGTAATGGGCGGAGAAGGTGTCGTTATGCTAGAGCTGGAATCCATCGGCGTTATATTGCCGCCGGGTTGGACTAGGCGTGGATTCGTTGCTGCCGCTGTGCCATAGATGCTGTGATGATGCGCAGCACTGCTGCTAATATCGCCGCCGCCCTCTTTCAACGAATCGTAGGCGGAGCGCAAGGAGCCATCATGGGCGACCGGGCCGCTGGGGTAGCCAGCGCTAATGTGCTCCTTCTTGCACACAATGCTAACGGGGCTGACAGAGGTGGCGGGTGTGGGCAGCAGCGGTGAGGAGTTCTGATGTGCGGCAACTGAAGCGTTCAGTGAATTCACTGTTGCTACCGACGGACCGGACGCAAGTGAATTAATGCCGCCGGCAGCGGACATATGATGCGGGTGTGATGAGTGCGAGTGCGACGATACGATCGAGCCGGAGGTGGGCGTTATCGCTGAGCCGGAAGAGGACGCACTCAGGTAGGAACTATGATGGGATTTAATCGACTGTGCGACTGCGGCGGCGGCAGCGGCGGCTGCTGCGGATGAGCCGCCCCCACTATTCGAGTTGTTCACATGGGCGCCAGCGCCCGAGGAGTTACTCGATTTGTTGCCACTGCCACCGCTGCCGGACGTCGAGTGCGATGAGTGGGAACTTGATTTGTTGGCATTGGATGAGCTGGAATTGTTGTTGTTACTATTATTATTCGATGTATTGCGCGATGAAGAGCAGGAGCTAGAGCCGGAGTTGACATTCTTCGAACTATTAAGGCTGTTGGATTGCTGTTGCTGCTGGAGTTGCTGGCGACATTTAGCGCGTCGATTCTTGAACCAAACCTGGAAAGATATGAGCGAGAAGAAAACATATTTATATTAAAAGGTTTCGGGGCAAGGTTTTTCTCTATCTATAGAAAAGTAATACTATAAAAATTGACCGACCGAGAGGTGACGATTGTCAGATATAACGTTTTGATTCACATTTTCGGCTTTCGGAAGAAAACGTACAACCAAGCCTTCTAGGGCTGCATATTTTTCGGAGTTAGCTATTCAAGTGTGGGCGTCGGCGACCCATAAACAGAGGAAATGATAATCCGACACATATTTAATATAAATACTGGCATTTATTTGAATGGAGTTGCCGTTTAATTAAAATACCTTTTGATTTAAATTAAATATGCGCATAAGCTGAGTAAATAAAATAAATATTTACTTACTTATTTACTAAGTCAATGAATACAAAAAATTCTTATAGGCTGAGTAGTTAGACGCATTTAAAAGTAAATTATCATTTAGAAAATAGAATACAAAAATAGTGTAAATGCACTATTTACAAAATATATTCAGCACTGCTTCAAAAATGAAAAATCTATTTCAATAATATTGGAGATTCTATTGAACTCAATTTGGGCTCGGATAATAGGAGCATTTCGAGCATAAAAAGCTTTATGAAGACCAACATAGAAAAACGATTTTTGATACACCAGTTACTAACATTATCTAAATTGATTTCCATCAGTTCAGAATCAATCTTCAATACAGATTATCAGAAGCTTTCGCTGGAATGATCCACATTATGCAGAAATCTTACTGACGAGAAGAAAGAAAAATTTCATTGATAAACAAAACAAAAAATAACTGGCCCAGAATAATTCCTTGCTGAACTCCAAAGCAAGCAGCAAAAAGATCTTTTCGATTTAACATTTTCGACAACAACCATGCAACGACAATGGTGCCGGTAAGATGCGATCCATCTCAAGAAGACTGAGTGGAAACAAATGCAAGCTAATTCTTCAATAAGGATTACGTGGGAAGCCCCATCTAAGGCCAGTATAAACTAGAGGGCTGCATGAATTCATTTAAACTTCTAGCCAAACATAGTACAGTAGATTTGAATATTTTACTTCACATACAAAACACTCAGCGTTTGGAATTTTGTAAGTTATGAATATACATTTTGTTTTATATTTTCTACCTTCAAATGGAAGAATGTGAATGAATGAATTGAAAACATTCAAATCATTTAAACTCATTTCGGTAAAAGTTTTTTTCTACAAACAAGTTTTTTCGTATGTAATAGGAGCGCAGCAATACATACATACATACATTGTAAGTTTGTACATTTGTGCATAGAAAAAATAATTTTTGGATATTCATACAAAAAATTGGCATTTATTTCAATTCAACTTATTTTCACTTTGTTTGAATATTGTGATGTCGACACAAATATCAGAACAGCTATTCACTCAAATTAAAAAAAATTTTAAGCCAAAATCATTCATTCTTTTTGTATATGAATAATTCAAAAGCCGTTTTGAATGCATTCATGCAGCCCTCTAGTATAAACGGTGTCACCCTGATACCCTGATTGAAAGGCTGTGATGTAAACGTTTGAGAAGACAGCTAAATTAGATACTATTGAGTGGCTCGGAAAGAAGCCATGCAGCTCTGGACACACCATATTCTTGACAGCAAAAAGTAATTTATCTCTACAACAGTGGGTATACTAAAGAACACAGTGATATTTGGTCCCCATTTGATGTTCATAAATCCAAAAATAAAGTATCGATTTTAGGGGTTTATTCTCCTGGATTGGCTAAATTGATGTTTCAGCTATGGAAATATGTCCAAGACGGGTCCTGTTTGTATAATCAGTGGGAAAGTGTTAATTGATGCAGCGCTCTAAAAAGCAAAAAGGTAGTGCTAAAGTTTAATAGAACGCCAAAAGCCATAGGGGCTATCGACTTTAATTTTAAAATTTGTTTTTCTTCTACAGATGAGTTCTATATAAGGTATAATTAAACATTTTTTTAAATATGTTCAATGAAATATTCCAGTGATTTTTTTTATAAAAAACAGGTTAAAAGCAGAAGTCATAAGTCATTTTCTCCATCTTTCACCAATAACAAAATTATGTTTTATTTTAAACTATAATAATAAATATTGAATCCGACCGTGTCCGACATTTTGTTTAAGACGCGATTTTGTACCATATAGTATTGAAAGTTTTGCTGAATATGATTTTTTGAAATAAATGCTTTTCAACCAACTTCGTGAAAGATACACGTAAACATGATTATATTATAATTCAATCAGTGGCGGATTTAAATATTTGCCGCCCCTAGGCAATTCATAACTTGCCGCCCTTTTTTCACGAAAAAAAAATATATATATATATCAAAAATGATTGTTATTGTCAGTGCTTTATTACAATATAGTTCGTTAATAATGAAATACATAACGGAATTAACAAATTCGACATCAGCATGGATAAGGTATTCAACAAAAACCCTCTTTCAAACACTTCTTTTTCACAGTTCTTTACGTCTTGATTTTTCAGCTGCGAATTCGCGGATAATATCTTCACAATCGATAGATAGAAACAAATCTGACTCTATAGTCAGCAACGCAAGAGCATTCAGTTTGTTTTCGCTCAATGAAGATCTGAGATAGTTTTTCACGCGAAGCTGACCTTCAGATTATTCACGTTATGATACACTTATGAAAAACTGGTGGGCTTGGAATCAAGAATTTTCTCGAAAATGCACGCTCGTTTTTCGGCAGTGTTGTCAAGTGTGGTAACCTTTTAGATGATTCTCGTTCTCGGGGCAGCGTGTGGGCTGTTTCTTTGCGTCACGCGCAGGCGCGCCGTCAGGTTTCTAAGCCGCGTGAGTGAAAGTTAAATGGAAATTTCAACGACTGCTATACTAAGGAAAAATTCGCAGCGTAATTCTAATTTTGAATTGTATTGAATGAGATGAATCATTAATAATATTTTACAGACACAAACACAATTTCAAGTGCAGCTGAATCCAAATAAATTTTTTTCTTTTAATTTAGCTGTCTTAAATTTTGCCGCCCCTTAATTCTGCCGCCCTAGGCTTCAGCCTATGTTGCTTGTACGATAAATCCGCCACTGAATTCAATAGCATTATTACTTAAAATTTTAAACACAAACTTAAAAAACCTAATATAACTCAATGCTACGTGAATTTTATAAATATTTTTTCAAATTAAGCACATTTCATTTAATTCAAGCGCCATATTGGATTGGCAATTTTGTTTTTTGTTTTTTTGATTTCAAATTCGAATTTGGTGACCCCAAAAACTCTTAAATAAAATAGTAATAAGCCAGTTATTATTTTTAACATAAATTATTTTGTTTAAGATTTTAGGCGCCATATTGGATTGGCCATTTTGTTTTTTGTTATTTTGAATTCAGATTCGAGTTCAGCGACCCCGAAAACCCCTGTAAACCTGATATGTGATGCCATCTCCAAACCCATTCTAACTTTTGCTGCACCCGTCTGATGAAAGAAGGCAGAAGTGAGGTCCACGCAGATCAAGCTACAACGACTGGCCTGCATGGGTATCACTGAGAACAACACCGCGCTCTACTCTTTATAGCTGGGCTCATCTCAGGGGACAAGACTGACCACGGAGGAGTTTGCGGCATACAAACACATCTACATACACTCAGAGAGCAGAGCGGCGTTTCCCGCTCTTAAAGCGCACGAGGTCGCCTCAATACTGGTGTAATCCCTCACCTTCAGCTTTTAATTCTTATCGCTTCTAGGAACCGGGTATACCTCATATGTGCGCCGGGACACAGTGAAGTTATGAGAAATGAAGTGGAAGGTTGTATTTGGATTCATAGGCCCACGATCCATTATGGGTTTGCCATGGAGCTCCGTTAAGCGTTAATTAAACACTTGGCAAACATAGGAGTTGCTAACTCTGATCAGTGTTAGTTGTGCAACGAAGAACAGGAAACAGCAGGCCAGATTATGTGCCACTGTGAAACCCTTACCAGGACCAGACTTTGCTACCTAGGCTTACCGTACATGACCTAAATGGCATTCAGCCAAAGGACCTCGAGACGTTTCTTAGTAATACGTGGTTCGAAGAAGATCTGTGGCCAAATAGAGGCTTGTTGCAAAAGAAGGTTTCGGTCGTGGTAAATAGGTTGGCTAATCACTCCTCTAGATCCAATCTAATAAATCCGCAGTTAAATTTCTTGAACTATTCCAATAATTAACTTCTAATTATGCAATGAAATTTTTTTACAAATGATATTGATTTCTTTTTCGGTTTTTCATTTCAGAAATTTGTGTCCCTTTGTGAGTAAAAAAGTAATTTAATTTTAGTCGCACAGTCTCGTATCGCTCATTCGCTTGATGTTTGATTGCGTAGATAAAACAATTAAAATCCGCAAACTGAGAATTTTGCGATTTCCACATTTACATAAATTTCGCTGACAAAAGCGCAAGCGAAAACATCAAAGTCACAAAATACGAAATTATTGAAAAATTCAATTTCATTGTTCATTAAATGATTTCAAAAGTGACTATTTGAAGACTTAAGCAAGAAAGGGAAGGATCAGAGTAAAAAGTGAAAATTTAACGTTTGAAATATGCTCAGGAGCTACATATCACAGGAGGGTGGTGCCCCATAGCGGCCAAGAAGCACTGCGTTCTTTATAGGAATTGCAAAATCAATGCGTTACACTTGACAATGGAATGCAAACTCAAAGGAAAACGTAATTTAATTCGCATTTTACAGTTTTTTCCTTTATCGGCGCAGTAACTGAGTATCCTTAGAGTAATTCGCCAAGCTTTTTATCAAGGACTGGCTCTGTTTTTTTTTCTAACAAATTTTGTGGTAGCATTGCATGCAAATGTGGGGTGGGATGTTACGAGGGTAATGAAATTTGATACGCCTTGTTTAATGCGTTTCCCCCCGTATGCCGCACGCCACAATGGTAGGAAAGCGGTTGGAGGCGGACAATCAGACAGACACTATGTCAAATAAAACGCCCTCAATCATTTTACCGATTTCAA